CCTAAAGTGATTCAAACCTATCTTGCATTCATACCAAATGCAATATTTCTTAAACTTGGTTATAATAAAAGAATTGGACTGTCTATTACTAGACTTCCTTTGTTTGATTATCCATCATTTCTTAAAGAACTTCCATTCGATCGATTCCTTAGTGCAGCTATAGCAAGTAATTGCTGTAAAGATATTATAATTGAATTATTTAAAATGCTTACTATGAAAGATGTGAGATTACGCCGATTTGATATCTATAATTATTTATTTATTCAACATTCCGAATCTCAAAATACGATAGCATCTTTGGTTCTTCCCCATTTTTCTGAATACACATCTATGTTGAGTAGATTAACGAATTTTAATTTCAGTTATCAATGGCCAATGCATAAAACACAACTTTTTAATGTTATAGCAGAGAATTGTTATAATATTGAAAAACTTAAAGTTAGTATTTGTTATGAGGAAGAAGGGATAGCGTTAGCGGCTCTTATCCATTCTCAAAGACATTTAAAAAAGTTTTCCCTGATAAACAGTAATAATTATGCATCATTTCCTGTCCAAGCACTTGTGAACCAAAAGCATGCGCTTAAAAGTGTAACATTTGAAGACATGCATTGCAACAACGACTTAAGCGAGACGGAGTTTTTTAATTATGCTATTTGTCAATTAAATAGTAGTGCCATCGATGCACTTGCTCAATGTACAAAAATCAACAAGTTGAAATTTAAACACTGTGAAAGGCTCAACTCTTCTGTGTTTTTTCCTCTTGCCTCTGTCTTTCCAAACTTAACATCTTTAGAATATTCTTATGGAACTTATAATATTTGTGATAATGCAACCCCCATTAAATTATTATCCAATCTCATTAGGATGAGTTGTAATACACTTGAAAGAATTATACTTGACTGGCATTCTCATGACTATCTTGAAATTACTCAGCTTGTTGAAGCAATTACATATGCAATATGTCTTAAATATTTAAAAATTCCACTTTATACATTAGAACAGCTTGCTCTAATTCATAAAAGCCATAATCAATTAAAGAAACTTGAAATTCATATGAATAGAAGAATAAATCCACATAGTGCTCTTTCAATCTTTGCAAGTGTTCCACTCAAAAGCCCTAAACATTCAATTCTTTTGTATTTTGATTATTCTTTATATTCCAAACTGAAAATCAATCGATTAAATCAAATCTTCGAATCAATTTTTTACAAAAGTAATCGAATTGTTAATTTGGTTTTATGCCTTCTTAATAACTCATATCCATCAATAAAAGGGAATGAATTACTTTTAAAAAAATATCCGAGACTTAGAATCAATATTCTGAATAGATCGAATAGGTTTGACATATTAGATTATGACCCTTTTGGATTATACTCTGATTTATGCAATTATGATGAATTGCTTAAAGTTTTTGATAATTTATTAAACATAAAGCCAGATGATATATGGGCTATAAAACAACGCGGTACAACTCACTTTAGCATGGGAAATTATATAGAATCACTTAAAGATTTGAACAAGTCTTTAGAAATTGAGCCTAATGATGCATACGCATTAAGACAACGTGGAGAAATCTATAACATTATGGAAAACTATGAAGAATCATTAATAGATTTAGACAAATCATTAGAAATTGAACCAAACAATGCATGGGCGTTCAAATTTCGTGGAATTACTTATTTCAAAATTAAAAGATATGAAGAATCACTTAAAGATCTAAATAGTTCTTTAAAAATTGATCCAAATTATTCACATGCATTGCAAAAACGTGAAGACGTTTATTGTAAGATGAAAAGGTTTTATGAATCGCTTACGAACTTAAATAAATCTCTTGAAATGGATCCAAATAATGTATTTGCATTAAAGAATAGGGGTGCAATTTACAGAATGATGAAAATATATGATAAATCACTTGCAGATTTAAATAAATGTCTTGGAATAGAACCAAATGATGCATTTGCACTGAAAAATCGTGGTGCAATTTATAGAACAATGAATAGATATGATGTATCACTTAATGATTTGAATAAATCTCTTGAAATAGAACCAAATGATGCATTTGCACTAAAAAATCGTGGTGTAACTTATCTTATGATAAATAAGGATTTATTCGAGGAAAACATTAGGAGTTCATACGACTCATACAACCTATATTACAACCCTTACCTGTTCCCTAGATATTATCTCAATGAATATCGCAATAAAAAATATGAAAAATCACTTGCGGATTTAAATGAATCACTAAAAATTGAACCGAATGATGCATTTGCATTAAGATATCGTGGAATAAATTATTGCAAGATTAAGGAATATGAAAAGTCACTTAATGACTTAAGTCATTCACTTGCAATTGAACCGAATAATGCATTTACTTTACAACAACGTGGAATAACTTATTACTATATGAAATTATATGATAAATCACTCGAAGATTTAAATAAATCATTAGATATTGATCCAAATAATGCCGATTTTTTAGGGAGTCGCGGAAGGACTTATTATATGATAGAAAAGTATGAGAAATCACTTGAAGACTCAAATAAATCATTGGAAATTGAACCAACAAACAGACTTGCATTGGGAAATCGTGGTGCAATTTTTAGAATAATGGAAAGATATAATGACTCTCTTACAGACTTAAATAAATCTCTTGAAATAGAGCCAGATGATGAATTTGTATTAAAAAATCGTGGTGCAATCCATAGAATAATGAAAAAGTATGACGAATCACTTGAAGACTTAAATAAATCATTAGAAATAGAACAAAATGATGCATTTGCATTAAAAAATCGTGGTGCAACTTATCTTCTAATGAATAAAGTTTTACTCGAGGAAGACTTTACGTGCTCATACATTTATACATTCCCTAGATATTATTGCGATGAGAATCGCAAGAGTAAAACGTATATGTATAATAAATCACTTGAAGATTTAAATAAATCACTAGAAATTAAACCAAATGATGCATTTGCATTAATATATCGTGGAATAAATCATTGTAAGCTTAATAACTATGAGGAATCACTTAATGATTTAAATAATTCATTAATAATTAAACCGAATAATGCGTTTACATTTCAGCAACGTGGAGTAACTTATTTTTATATGAAAATGTATTATAAATCACACGCAGATTTAAATAAATCATTAGAAATTGATTCAGATAACGCCAATACTTTTGCAAACCGTGGAAGAACTTATTATATGATGGGAAAATATGTGAAATCACTTGAAGACTCAAATAAATCATTAGAAATAGATCCAACTAATGCAATTGCATTAGGAAATCGCGGTGCAATTTATAGAATAATGAAAAATTATAAGAAATCACTTGTAGACTTAAATAAATCTATCGAAATCGACCCAAATGATGCGTTTACATTGAAAAATCGTGCCGCAACCTACATTATGAATAATGACTCTTTCAACGACTTAAGCGATCTTTGGTCTTATCATTATTGCAACATTACCAAAACATATTACTTATCACCAATTACAGATTTAAATCATTCACTGGAGATTGAACCGAATGATGCATTTGCGTTAGCATTTCGTGCATTATATTATTTCAAAGTTAAAAGGTATAAGGAGTCGATTGATGATTTAGATAATTTACTAAAGATCGAACCAAATAATCCTTTTACATTACGACAACGTGAAATTGTTTATTATTATAATTCACTTGACAATTTAAGAATTCTACCAAGAATTAAACCGCGTAATGCTAAACAACGTGAAATAACTTATAATAAATCACTCATGGATTTAAATAAATCGTTAGAAATTGAACCGAATAATGCGTTTACCTTACAGCAACGTGGGATTATTTATTATAATCTAAAGAATTATGATAAATCGCTAGCAGATTTGAATAAATCATTAGAAATTGATCCAAATAATGCTGATTCTTTAGGGTATCGGGCGAGAGTTTATTACATAACAGGACAATACAAAAACTTATTTGAAGATACATATTATGCATTAGTAATTGAACCAGAGAATGCAATTGCTTTAGGAAATCGTGGATCAATCTATAGAATAATGGAAAAATATGAAGATTCTCTTGCAGATTTAAATAAATCTCTTGAAAAAGAACCAAATGATATATTTACATCAAAAAATCGTGGTGCAGTTTATTATATGATTCATAAATTCAACAACTCTCTCGAAGACTTAGAAGCATCATTAATGATTGATCCAGAAGATTCATTTGCGTTAGGATATCGCGGAGCAATTTACTGTAAAATCGGCGAATATAAAAAATCTCTTAAAGACTTAAATAAATCATTAATAATTGAACCAAAGAATTCATTTGCCTTGCGACAGCGTGGGATAGCTTATTTTAGTATGAAAGAATATAATAAATCTCTTGTAGATTTAGATAATTCTTTAATATTAGAATGCCTATATATGAATAGGCTTAAATAAATTTATTGTTAAATTATTAAATAATGATACAATCATCGGGGAAATTAAATAAGTGTAAATCTGCAAAGATTTGTATTTTCGCAGATTTATTTTCTAGAATTTGAAGTTTTTTACAGAATTGTATTTAATTTCTGCATATATAGTTATTATTTTTAAGTTATGCACAGATTTTAATTTGATTTATTTTTTAATTTTTTTTGCAAAGCTGCGCAGAACTGCACTAAGAAAAATTTCCCGATGATAGTAATAATTTATAAAACGTTGTAAATAACAGAAAATAAAAGATTCGATAATTAAGCTTGTAACTTTAACATATAATATAGTATATCTTATGCAAGTTTATTAAATCAATTAAATTAAAAATATTTAAATATAGTTTCTCGTACTGTATAACTATGCAATGTGCATTATTTCATGATCAAAATATTAAAATTTAATTTAATGAAAATAGAAGCTTGTAATACAATACAAACATATCAATAGATATTTATTATTTTAAATATATAAAAAATTAGCCAATCTTTAAAAAAAAAAATCATAAATTTATATACAAATAATATGTGAAGTCAAGGTTAACTAAAAAGCCTAAAAATATTAATTTGAATAATTGCTATGGATTTACAACTCTTCAAATAATTCAAATTTAATACAACCATTTCCATGATTAAATCCACCTTCATTTTGAAAATTGTGAATCTGCCATTGCCAAATCCAGAATATGACGCTCTTGCATTGACATCTCCAGCCATAAGAAAGGCATAATTTTGTTGAGCATAGAGATTAAAGTTACCTTTTTTTCCCTTAAAAATTATATTGACTTCTGGACCTCTTGGATTTATACTCCAATCGTTTTGCTTAAATACTAACCTTGCCATATTTCCTTTACTAGTTCCTGAAGTAATAACGGCACCCGGATCAGGAATAGATACTGCGATGCCTGCTACCATCTGTGCACTTACAAATCTTAATGTTCTTGGTCCAAAATTGAAAACATTAACAACAGGATATTTGGCTTCACTATATGAAGGTTTGCCCTTCAAAACTTTGCTGTCATCGTATTCATTATCAGATTCATTACTAAACACCCGGTGCATAAAAGATAGGGTAATATCAGTTTGAATTAGAAGTATAATTATTTATATAGTTATTTGCTGTACTTACAGACTATTGTGGTGATTTAAATTTTTTAGATAGAATTATATTAGTTTTATTTTAAATTATCATAATTTATATAATAATTTCTATAAAAAAAATTCTGCACTAAACTTACTCACTATGGTAACTTAAGTGATTTTGATAGAGTTATGTTAGTTTTTGTATTGGATTTTTTGTGATTTGTGTAATGCATGACTGTAAAAAGTTT